TATATATATATATATATATTATTTATTTTGTTTTATTTTGTTGTAACATATAACATTCTTTGCTATATTATGGGTTGCACATGTTTTTATCTTGCTCTATATCTAGGCAAGCGCAATTTGATCAGAAAACTCAAGTAATTGGATTTATACAACTCTTCTTTATTTCGGAAACCATTTCCTTGATATGCCTGCCTAATGCGTGCAACACAAACATGCAGAAATCAAATGCACGAGAGCTAAAATTATTCTTTCTGATGGAAATAATATTGTGTTCATCAAGTGGATACTTTCGCATGATTAGAATTTTAGATTTGAGGGATTGTTTTGACAACATTGACTGCGTGCCAAGGGGATATAAAAGAAACAATTTCATTGCTGCTTGATTTTCTATTTCTTTTTCTAGGTTTACAAACAATGTCCTTAGTACAGCTCAACAAGTATGGTTGCGCAAATATGGAGGTGCAAAGCCTGTTGTGGATCAAAATGCTGGTGGAATTATTACTGCAGGGCGTGCTAAAAGAACAGGGTCGGAGCCAGCAAGAGGTGGTGAAAGGTAAGTGTTTTCTGGTTCGATGATGCAGAGTTTCAACTCCTCTTGGATAACAAATTGGTGATCTACAGGTTTAAGCAGTTAAAGGAAGAGGAAAAGAAGAAAAAGTTAAGCAAGGCACTACCAGTGGAAGAAGTTCAGCCACTGGCTTCTGCTTCTGATGATGGCTCGGATGTAGAAAGTGACGACAAGGTATGTATTCAACTTCTGGATTCTCTTGGTTACGAAATTTTTGTGATAGAGCTGTCTTTTTGAGAGAAAAGAAGAATTAAAGGAAAAAGAAATATCTCTGCATTAAGAGGATTTGATATTGCATAGAAAACTTCTTTATAAATTTAATGTTATTATACAAAGAACAATGTCTGACTACCCTTAATTTCCCATCACTTATAAGATGAAACATCTAGTTAATTTGTCTGTATGTACAGAAAAATAATTGTGTCCAGCCATAGATTGAAATTTCGAAATTTTCTTTCCCTATTTCAATTTAGTGTTGCAAACGGTCATTGCACTTACTGATTCTTGGGAATGTATATATAATATGACAACCAATGACCTTAAAGGGTAATTTTTTTAAATAGGCAAGGGTCAAATGGAGACGCAGTTGGAGGAGAGAAAGGGGGGAGAGAGAGGGGAGACCGGAGAAAAGGTTAAGAATAAAAGGGGGGAGAAGGATTTAAGTAATTGGTAGAAAGGTTGAGAGTAGGTCTAGGGTCTGTTATCACAGTCCTCTGAGCCATCAGTGGTAATCATTTATAGGATTTTCTAATTTTACCTTTCTGGCTGTAATTCTGTTATTAGAGGATTTTCCTCCGCTGTAGGAGCCGGTCTCTATATTTTTTTATATAAAGTCCAACTTCTATCACTATCAGCCAACAACTTCAATTTTGCTCTACGTATTGTTGGGAGTCTTAAATGTAAGGAAGAAATCCTACATTGAATGAGACTAGAAGTAAACCAACATATAAGTGTCAAAGACATATATTTAACGCCTTAAACTTTTGGGTTGAACACAGTGTTTAGTCCGCTTATATGGTTATTACTTAGCCCACTGCTTTAAGATCTTCCCAGGGTTGTAACTTTTAAGCTCCCTACACTACCCAGCACACATTCTTTGCTCCATATTTAAAGTCTCACCACCATGACATGACACAATGTTACTGGGGAGATTAAATCACAAATGAAATTAAACCAAATATTTTAACTGATGAAACCAATAACGTGGATATTATGGCGGATCTAACTTGGGAGGCCCGCAAAATTTTAAAATTTTCATAATATAATATACGATAACAACAAAATTTTATCCCACTAGGTGAGGTTAATATGATATAATGTATTATTACAAATTGCCTCCATAATTTGAACTGCAATAAAAAAAAGTCGATATATAATGAGAATTTTATTGTCCCACAAATTTATATATAAATATTATCTCCAAAATTTAAAATTTTTGAATCCGTCACTCTGTATAAATGGTGCTTTCTAAACAGAAGCTCGAACTTTGAAATATATTTCCTATAGCTTACAGAAAGAAAGTAGGTGTCTTGTCTTATTTTACTGCTAACAAAGGGGTAGGAAACTAGACCTGAAAGATTCTGAAGCTCTGTGTATTAATTTACTGTAAAGATGCTAACTACGAGTATATCACTAGCGGAGGTAAAATGTGTGCGGAAATTGGTATGTATTATTTCTGAACAAGAAAATAAAAATATCCGAGGAATTTTACGTGCCTAGTTCTGTCCCATCCTTTCCAAACTCACTTTACTAATTCTTTCTTTAGCTGGCTTCTCTTAATTTCTCCCCTTCCCGATTTCCGCCCCCGCCCCATATTGTCAAGTGGGCAAGAGGTTATACAGCTGTCCTTATTTTTGGGGTATTTTATAAAGAAAATTACTGTGAGAATAAGGGCAATATGGGATTCTCATTATTTTACATAAATTCCCAATGTTAATTTACCTTGTTACAGGGACAGGAAGTTGAAGAAGAAGCATATGCTTCCAAAGTTGGCGAAGAGGTTCAAAATTATTCTAGGGAAAGAAGAAGCAAGCGTTC